AGATGCGTCAATTATGTGATGGTACTAGTAAAATGAATACTAGATGCGTCTAATTTCTGACGGTACTGCCGAAATGTAAAATATACGTCAATTCCGACGGTAGAGACAAGATGAAAAATGTCAGATGCGTCAATTATGTGATGGTACTAGTAAAATGAATACTAGATGCGTCTAATTTCTGACGGTACTGATTATAATACAAATCAGGGCATTTATTATGATGGTATTAGTATACTAATAGTGTCAAAAGCGTTTTTTTTATGGCACTGATTTTGCTTATGCATTTTATTACATGCATACACACGAGGCCGGTCAGAAGCGACATCTAACGTAGAACTTGGAAATAAAAAAAATCGATAATTGACGCGATCTCCTATCTTATCGACACTAATCGAGTTCGCCAGCGGCTTTAGCATCCCCTTAAGGTGTACCGTGTGGAGGTTGTGAAGTCAGATTTACACCTCTGTTTTGTTTATATGCACAACCCAGTGAGAAATGATTCGTCGATCGACGTCGAAACCACGTCGAATCGACATCGACACCGTCGAATTGACGTCGATTCGACATCATTTCGATGTCGATCGACGAATCATTTCTCACTGGGAAGGGACGTAAATTCGACCGTGCAATCTCCATACGGTAAATCTTGAGTAATGCTAATTCTAGCAATATTATAAACTTCGAGCTTTATAATTATAAAAATACTTGGAAAATCGTTCAGTTGCAGTGTTTAGAAAAGCTCTTGAGGCAAACTACAACAATATGCAACAAAAAATGGGAGTTTCCAGATTTACGAAATTAACCCTTAGCTGGCACACTTCACCAGAATCACATAGCTGACACACTGGAAACAAGACATGGCACCACAAGTACACTTTTCGTACTATAGGGGGGCTTAAAGTTAAGCTAAACTAGGCTAGGGCGTTTAATACTCCACGGTGCCAGCTAAGGGTTAATGATGATCTTCATGTTACCTTCAAACAACTATCCAAGGTCAAATTAATAGCATCAACGTACATCCCCCTTCAAATTAAACAACTTTTGGTTAAAGCACTTTTTTCTACAATCCAAAAACAAGTCAGATAATTCAGATGATCAATTTAAGTGGACTACCCTACATACATCAAGAATTTCGAAATAAGAAAAATAGCCTCCCATATTGCACCGATTGTTGCAGAAAGCTTCCAGAAAGGTTTCTAAATCATTTTAACCTTTCATATTACATGTGTAACTATTCTGAAAGAATTTTGCAATATTTTATATGAAATGTTATATCAAAAATGTTTCTGAAACCTTCCACATGAAAATAATTTTGAAACATGAAAATTCCATTTTCAAATCTTTCAGTTGAGTTATCTTTGAACTGTTTCACATAAAATATTTTATAAACCTTTCAGTTGAGCTATTTCTGAAACCTTTTTCATGCAATAAATTTGAAAATTTTCAGCTAATTTATCTCTCAAACATATTGATGACTAAGGACTAATTTCCCTAACCTGTCGTGTGTAATTTAAAGAAAAAACAAAAATAATTATATGATTTATCTATTAGGCAGTTTATTAAAAGGTTAGAAAAATCGACCCTGAAGCCTTAATTGTGTCCACAATGCTAAAAATCGGTCTGAGATCTCGATCCGAAAAACGTGTAACCAATAAAATTTAATTGTATTAAATTTGTTTGCATTATTAAATAAGTGCTGTAGGCGAAAAGTTTTAAGTCTCTTATAACGGGCGAAATATCGCCCGTCACCAATATTATTCCGTAGAGGAGATTGTTGCTTTCGGAGATGTCCTCCGAAAAGTCATGATCGACAAATACGTTGACGACCGCTGTGCGTGGAGACCGTCGATTGGTCCAGTGGTGTTTCCCTGAGAAAAATAAGAGCACCGGCGACAAAGCGGAGAGACACACTCGCGGAGTCATACTCGAAGTAACATTATCGGGACCGTAACATTATATTGTGTAATATTCGGATCAGAGGATCGCCGCGAATAAAGACAATTCTGACCATCTGATTAGAGCGCTTTGTGCTCATATATCTACGCCTCTTCCGAGACAGAAGTCTCTCTCTGCTCCACACTTAATCTCTCCCTACAGTTATCAGAAGTGGGATTCTGACCCACACGCCCTCAAAGAGGAAAGGCAAACTGCTCGGAGGCCGTGTGCCGGAATCGTAACACCGGGGAGGTCAAGACGCGACACCGGGCCCTCACCGAGTAAGGTAGGACCTTAAAAGACTCATTGAGTGGGGCGTGTCGGAGGCGCGGAGTGCGCGAGTGAGCGAAATAGACGAAGTGGAGAGTTCGCGGAGGCACGAGCACGTTCAACTTTGCCGTGAACATGGAACAGAGCACGGGGAATCGATTCACGGTACTCGAGCTAAAAAAGGCTCTTCGCGAGCGCGGACTAACTACTTATAGCGGAACGAAAGCAGAGATGATCCGTAGACTGGAGGAGGACGACCCGAAGGTGTGGGAGGATCTCGCTGCTCGGCGGGAGGCGGCTTCGCGTGACGCTGGGGACCCGTCGGACCTTGAGGACGCACTCCCGTTAGGAGAGGAGGACGACGGGGTGAGTCGGAGCGACGAAGAGGCTAGTGGCGGCGGGACGAATCGCGATGGCGAGGCCATCGAGTTCAAGGTATTAATACACCTAGACACCGAAAACTACGGAGCGCACTGCCTGGACGTCGTCATCGGCGACCTGGGACACGTGGACATCGAGTTCAAGGTATTGATACACCTTGACACCGAAAACTACGGGGCGCACTGCCTGGACGTCGTCATCGGCGACCTGGGATACGTCGACGTTTTAT